TTTATAGATGCAATTTAATATCAAGTTCTTTATGCTCGTGTGGTAAAGTTGAGGATACATATCATTATTTTTTTTGTATGTCCAAAGTATGAGAAAGCCAGAAAAGTATTTTTAAATATTTTTTTTTTTTTACAATTAAACAAGATCCACATTCTAGATACACATGTCTTATTGGGGGGGGGGATTCACTGAATGCTGCAGAAAATGAACGTCTCCCTTTCTTTTGTTCAAACATTCATTAAACATTCTAGTAGATTTCCTTGTTAGCATTAATTAATGTATCAGTATATGGATTTGTACAAAATTAAGTTAGTCTATATATCTGCAAAATGCATCGCTTTGTAAGCCTTTGCAAATGTTGTATACTGTAAAACTTCATGTTTAACTGTGACGATTTAAATGTGTAATTTACCTGTAGGGAGATGGCGTAATAAGTTTTCAGAACTTGTGCCCAATCCCTTTGTAATTATAAATTACAATAAAATATGTTCAAACCAAATACAAGATATGCAATATGATAAATTTGGAATTTACCAAGTTGCATTAAATACAAAATATACTTGGAAATTTTGTCATATTTGTAATTGATAATATGATATTTTATACAGTGTATAGATAATATGAGTTCTCTCTTTTCAGAAAACATTTTCTCTTTTGAAAATAGAAACAACGGAATAACATCCAGTTTTTGTTCGTCTTTTGTTCCTTTACGCTCATTTTGGAAAAATTGCGAATGTGCATGCGCAAAAGGGAGGATAGAATGCCTTCGTTTGAAATCAAATGGAAAAAAACACTGATATTTTACAAAATCCTAAATTAATAATTAATTTTCGATTATTCTATTGAGTCTCGACACCGTATAAATATCACAAGTTTCATGTCATTCTATAATATATACTTTCCTTAATATAATGCATACGGTTCATAGAAATGCAGTATTTCTGTGGTTAAAGAAGAAAGACAATTGGATAGAATTATTTTTCCGTCCTTCATTACTCTTTTTTTCTGCTTGTGTTTCATACTTTTACAAAATGATTTCTCCTTGATATTTCTGTAAAGCAAATACATATATTAAAGTGTGATTTTGATTAAAGACATCTTAATAACAAGGAGATGCATATGATGAATACAGATATTGATTTAATCTCATTAGGGATTAAATTAAAAAAAAATAAAATAAAGACCTTTTCCATTGGGACAACTATAAAGGATATATAGCACAGTGACACTATAATTGCTAAGCTACCTAAATGACGAGACAATGAACTCTTAGGTTTGTTTTGTGGACCGAAACAAATAGCTGAGCACGCATGAATGCCTACCGCAATGGGGGCACCTGCTGACAAAATGAGGTGTAAAACTGGGCCACCCATTGACATATCTAAAAGTACAGGTGTTAAAAAAGATATTGCTTATCATGTAGCTGCTAACTGTGTGAAATCATTTAATTCGTTGGTTTGTTCAATTATTCTATTTGAAAAAGTAATTTTATAAACAAAATTTCTTAAAGGGGTTGGGAGGGAGGGTCAACACAAGGCTTCTTCCCCTTAAATCTCACCCTTTATAAAGTTATTTTTATGTGAGATTTTTTTTTTACCTTGAGCCCTTTCTACCGTTTACCCAGAAATTTAGAATCTGCTCAGGATAAGGTATTTTTGACCTGAAGAATTATATATTTTGTAAAGGAAGCCATGCTAAAAAGAGTGTAAGGATATACCCAGCAGGGGGAAGGGATTGTACTGTCCCTAAGGATTTGCAGTGTTATTGAGGCTAAAAATGACTTTGGAAAGTAATGGAATCCACCAAACCCCATTCCCCAGCGCCCGTGGGAAAGTTTTCAGCTCTTACGATATATTTTAGTTTTTGATAATGCAATAAAAACGGATTTCAATCTATTGTTTTTCCCTTTTCCGAGAAAAAACCATGGCGACTTTCCTTATTATTTATTTATTTATTTATTTATTTATTTATTTATTTATTATCATTATTATTATTGCTATTATCATTATTTGCTTGTCAGAAATTTCCAATGATCGATAATGCACCATTTCTTCACCAATAAGAAAAAAAAATCCTTGATCCGCCGTTTAGTGATGTTTTAATATTAAAAAAAAAATAAAAAAGAGATTTTTTTAAATGTGCAGAGATACCTCGTATAAATCGGAGAGGTAGAGATCGGAAGCCGAGAAGATATGCGCCCATATATTCATTCCTCTTCACTAGTACATCATCAACGCTGTTAATTCCTGCAAGAGATTTAACAAGACAGAAATCAGTTTAAATCTGATATGTTTTTCGCAAATTTCTCTGCATGACATCTCTATTGTGAGATCAGACCACACGTGAAATCTGTGAATAACCATTAACCTGGACAATTAGGGACCCCCGCCTTACTGATTTTAATGATTATATGGATAACACGTACCGTGTACAATTACCTCAACGAAGCTACTACATGTAGTATTCTCACGGTGTCATTAACATGTAATCTGTTTTCCCGTTAACGTAAAAAAGTTTATTTTTTAACTGCAGATATCTAACGTGTCACTAAATTTTATCGTCGAAATAAAGTTGCAGATAAAAGCATTAAAAACAAGAAAAACTAAAAATGAATCGAAAACAAATAATTTTCAACTTTTTAACCAATAATTTTAAAGCCTTTTAGTTAATTTTGTCCATTCAAGATTAAATAGCCATTTCAGGAATTTGATCGAATTTAACGTAGGTCGCGGGTTTGCTGACGTCATTAAAACTGGGTACGCAATTTATATGGTTTGGGCGACTTTCTTGTGCACATTTGATTATGACGTCACAATGAAAAAGAAATTTCAATACATCAGCTATAACTTTTGTTGGTATTGGTATTTTATTGTTATATTGTTTAAGGCACAACTTATCACAAATAATGAAGGCTTCTTACGATTTGAATAGTCGATACAATATTTAGATATAACTTTTGTTGGAAATGGTTGTTTAGTGTAAAATTATTTATAGAACAAACTGAAGTTATCCAATATAATGAAGGCTTATTACGATTCGAATCCAACACTGGAAGTATTAGAAAGCGTTTCATTATGTGTTATCAATCGCATCCCGGGGTGTTCGGAATTTTAGGCTTGTCGGAATAGTCCGCGAAATTTTGATTGATTAGATATCACATGGTATCGTGAAACGATATGGGCACAAGTTTCAAGTGACCTCTTTTCCTTTGAACATATTTGAATTAACAGTTTGTTTAATTAATAAAGAAATCATTACATAAACCATCGCAAATGCACCTATTACATTAAAAGTTTAACCTTTATTTTTAAAAAGGACATTTTAAAAATATATTTAAAGGTTTTATCACAAATTAAAAACTGCTAAGGTACTATGAAACATAAACTAATACATTTTTTTTAGCGACACTGACCTCCTGTAAGTAAACACAGGCACTTGGGATATAGATTCCCCCTTTCCATTTTTTTTTCTCTTTCAATTTGGGATCGAGTCACCTTTTTCCTATTTTTGAATTCTAATACCGACAATTTACCCTTAGGCCGTAAAGAAGCCCTTAGATGAGGATGATTTAATCGAAATATTTACTAATCGGGGGCACATGAAAATTAAATGGAAACATGAAACGGAAGAAGAATGTGTAAAAAAAAATTATTGATGTCTGCATATTTCATGTTTTCTTATGCTTTAGATAATCATGCAAAGTTTAAGTTTAAGAAGTGAGTTAAACGACGAGAAAATCTCTCTTTTATGTATCAGTGGAAACGATATATTTAAAAACAGCTTATAGAGACAAAAGGGTTACATTATCGATAGCATATAGTACATGTTAGAATACAAAAATAGTCAAAAGGTGACTCGACCCAAGATTTAAAAAGAAGAAAAAAGGGGGGATTTTTATGTATCATTCGAAAACGATATATTTAAAAACAGCTTAAAGAGACAAAAGGGTTACATTATTGATAACATATAGTACATATTAAAATTCAAACATAAGAAAAAGGTGACTCGACCCCAGGTTTAAAATGAAATAAAATGGAAAGGGGGGGTCAATACCCCAAGTGCCCGTGTAAGTAACGGCTTACAATGCTCTTATCTACAGATTTTATTCGCTACTTTGCTTTCCATGTCCAGATAGTCGAATTTATGTTATATACATTGAAAGTCTTTTGAAATAAAAAAAAAACAAAAAAAAACAAAAAAAAACTGCCTGTTGATTACGTCAGATAAAATAATTTTTTAGATTCTCGTCCCATTTACCCCTCTAAAAATGTCTCGTTCGTTTTTTTCTATTCTTATATGTGTAATCATAAAATCAAATTCAGATTTTTTTTAGTTATCCCTTGTCTGTATGTAAAAATAAATAAAAACATTTTTTTAATATACATGTATACTGAAAATACAATGTATTTAGCCGGGACGATATTTGGCGGAAATTCATTCATTTAGAAGTTATCGTAGCTATGAGCGCATTGCTGAATGTTCTAAATAAAACCATTTCATATGTATACTTGAATAAGAAGATAACCGTTTTCCGCCAGCACGCTGAAAAAAATACACAGTCAAATATAGGATACTTATCTACGAAAAAGAAAACAAAACAAAAAGAAAAGAAACGGTGAGGAAACAACAAAGAAAATACATTGAAAGAAAGAAACTAAAGCATTAATTGTCGTTTTACGTCCCTTAAGATAATTTTCACTAATACGAGACGTACAAAGGATAGTTAGAAGAGGAACATGTCTAATAATCATTTCATTGCTATTGAATTATTATGATACGATTCGTGGGTCATATGATTTAAAAAGATTTCATGGCACAGGAGGTGTTAATATTTCAATCATATTTAAGATAAAAAAAATGGTTTGTTTCCCTCCCACAGTTTCTAAAGGGCCCGTGTTGATCCTTCTTGTTGTTGTTTCAGGTATTGTTGGTCTCTATTACCTTTTTTAAATAAAACAATTAATACTTTATCGATATCCATTTCTTATTCATTATTACAGGCCAATGTGGTATAACGAACTGTCAGACTTGCATACAAGCTTCTGGTGTGACGTCATGCTCACTGTGCAACAGTGGTTACTTCCCCTTGTCAACGACTTGTCAACCCTGTAGCCAGGGATGTCAGGCGGTGTCGTCAGGATCAACATGTAATGGATCCACTGGAATTTGTACCAGCGGTTGTAAAACTGGTTGGATAGGAGAAAAATGTGATCGTTGTGACAGTAATTATTATAGTGCAGGAGGAGCTTGTTACAAATGTAGCGACCAATGTGTAAATTCTTGTGACGGAACAACCGGAAGTTGTTTTGGGGGTTGTCGTGAAAGGTATTGGGGAACACGCTGTGAAAATACCTGCAGTCCTTTCTGTGTAGGACAAAACTGTTACTACACAAACGCTACATGTACAGTCGGATGTGTTAACGGATTTTACGATAATCGATGTGAAACTCCTTGCGGAGCATGTCAATGTGATAGACAAACAGGAAATTGTACCGGATCCTGTGATGCTGGTTGGTATGGAGAAAAGTGTGACAAAAGATGTAATTCTGCTTGTTATCTAGAAACATGTCAACGTAATGACGGACACTGCACGTACGACTGTCCAGCTGGATTTTATGGACCTTTTTGCTCTACGAAATGCAGCACTGGATGTGACGGAAAGTGCAATCGAGACACTGGAGTTTGCTCAACTGGATGCAAGCCTGGTTTGTACGGAGACATTTGCGCAAATCCGTGTAATCCAAACTGTAAGACTGGATACTGCTCTAGATCCGATGGATTGTGTGTAGGTGATTGCAAAGATGGATTTTTCGGTGATTACTGCTCGAAGAGTTGCGCCAGTTCCTGTAGTGGTAACTGTGATAAAGACTCGGGATTTTGTTCTGGTAAGTGTCAAGACGGCAGATTCGGCGATTTTTGCGAAAAGATTTGTACCACTGGTTGTTCCTCTAACACATGCGATCGGACTTCAGGAGTATGCTCCTCCGACTGCACGTCTGGGTTGTACGGATTGTTTTGTAATCAATCTTGTGCGACTTGTGATTCAACTGGCTGTGATAAATTAAGTGGTATCTGTAATAGCCAATGCGATCCTGGGTATTTCGGTAGCATGTGCACAAATCAATGTTCCTTTGGTTGCCTTAATGAGGCATGTCAGAAAAGCAATGGAGATTGCATAGGAGATTGTAAGGTTGGCCGTTTCGGTGCAAACTGTTCTCAGTTTTGTAGTTCGAACTGTAATAGCTCTGTTTGTTCCAAAACCTCTGGCGATTGTTTCAGTTGTTCTAATGGTCGATATTATGGTCGAAACTGTCAAAGCGCATGTCCAAACTGCGATTCACAGGGCTGCTCTTTTGAAACTGGAGTGTGCATTGGGTCTTGTTTGCCTGGATTTCACGGGGCAAAATGTGATCTTCAGTGTAGCGCAAATTGTGAAAATCAGATGTGTGACAGAACCTCTGGGAAATGTTTGAGATGTAAAGTAGGTTTTTACGGGTTTAATTGTACAATGCCTTGTAATAGAAATTGCCCGTCAAATTTATGTGAACAGGACACCGGTTACTGTTCCCAGAATTGTTCAATTGGTTCTTGGGGCCAAACCTGCACAGAAAGGTGCAGTTCGACATGTTTTCAAAACACATGCGAGAGAGATACAGGGTATTGTCATGCTTGCGATGACGGATTTTACGGTTTGACTTGCAATCTGAATTGTAGTGATCAGTGCTCGTCGGGAACTTGTGATCGGTCTATTGGCTCCTGCATCGGCTCCTGTAATGTTGGTTATTATGGATATAAATGCGAGTTTAAATGTGTCGAGTACTGTAATGGTTCTTGTAACCAAGTTACTGGTGTGTGTGACAATCCTTGTCCGCATGGACGGTATGGCGATTACTGCTCTTTGCTCTGCCAGGAAACATGCTTTGGAAGCGATAACAAATGCATTCGATCTTCCGGCTATTGTGAAATGGGTTGTGATGTAGGTTATTTTGGCAATTTTTGTAACCTAGCATGTCCAAATTGCGACACTTTCGGTTGCCGTATATCTAATGGCTCTTGCATCGCTTCCTGTAAAGTAGGATACCATGGACCGTCTTGTAACCGTTCTTGTAGTCCGACTTGCAGTAATCTGACATGTGCCAAAAATAATGGTTATTGCACTGAAAGCTGTTCAGTGGGGTATTTTGGTAACACATGTGAAAGTGTATGCAACTCAAACTGCGATTCCTCAGGTTGTCATAGATCGACTGGTGTCTGTTTAGGATCTTGTAAACCAGGGTATTATAATCCAACATGCTCAGGAGTATGCAGCCCACAATGCAAAGGCGGAACCTGTGAACGTTTTAATGGTACCTGCTCAGAATGTAACATCGGTTATTATGGGGCCTTCTGCAATTCGACTTGCAGCAAATGTGACAGTCAAGGATGCAATCAAGCAGAGGGTAAATGTTTTGGAGAGTGTCAGATAGGGTACTTTGGTGAAAAGTGCGACAAACTTTGTAGCCAAACCTGCGCTACGGCATCTTGTAATAAACTTGATGGCCATTGCTCTGCTTGCAGAGATGGCTATTTCGGTCTAACTTGCACATCATCATGTAACTCATTTTGCATCAGTAACAAATGTAACCAAACCTCTGGATATTGTACTTACGATTGTCCAAACGGGTATAAGGGCAATTATTGCAATGAACAATGTGATACAGCATGTGCAGATGATACCTGTGATAGATATAGCGGTGCGTGTGTTGGTAGCTGTGACACTGGTAAACACGGTGAATTTTGTCAGCTTAATTGCAACTCCAACTGTGGTTCTGGAACTTGTCTAAAAGAAAATGGAGACTGCATTGGTGGTTGTCGTACAGGGTATTACGGAAAAAAATGCGACATTACATGTAGCCTTCAATGCTCATCATCATGCGATCAGATTTCGGGATTTTGTAATGGCCAATGTAAAACTGGTCATTACGGAAACTTCTGTGAAATTCCGTGTAGCGCATTTTGTAAAAGTGACACATGCGATAAAATCACAGGGGCCTGTACAATGGGATGTGACAAAGGGTATTATAGTACATACTGTAACCAGACGTGTAGTACATGTGATGATGCCGGTTGTAACGACCGAACAGGTGCTTGCTTAGCCAACTGTGATGTAGGTTTTTATGGCTCCCATTGTACATCACAATGCCAAAGCACCTGTCGAGGCGCTTGTCAAAAAACAACAGGACTTTGTTTAAATTGTCCTAGTGGTTACTACGGAGATTACTGCTTACAAAACTGTGCCAATTGCGACAGCAACGGTTGTGCCATATCGGACGGAACGTGTATTGGATTATGTAGAAACAATTTGTTCCATGATCAGTATTGTAGGTCTTCTTGTAACGGAAATTGTCTAAACGGGACCTGTAATAAGAGCACCGGAGATTGTGATGCCTGTATCCAAGGTTACTATGGTCCAAAATGCACGTTATCATGCAATGGTAATTGCCAGCAAAATATGTGCAGAAGAAATGACGGATATTGCACGAACCCTTGCTCAGAACGGTACTATGGGCCAACTTGCACTTCAATCTGTAGTGTAAACTGTCGTAACGGTTGCAACCGAGAAACTGGGGTATGCAATGCTTGCATTGAGGGTCGATTTGGTGAGTACTGTGACAGAGCCTGTAATACAACTTGTGGAACAGGAGTTTGTAATAAACAAGATGGAAAATGCATTGGATCCTGCGTACATGGGTATTTTGGAGACTATTGTTCTTTCCAGTGTAGTGCTACCTGTGCTGGAAGTTGTAATAAAACGACTGCTTATTGCATCGGGGATTGTCAGAATGGACATTACGGACAATTTTGTGAGCTGGATTGTAGCACTGGTTGCATAGGTGGAGTATGTGCCAGAAGTAATGGAGTTTGTGGCAGTGGTTGCAAATCTGGGTACTGGGGAACGTTTTGCAATCACACTTGTCAAACTTGCGATGCAAACGGATGTTACCAAAACAACGGTACCTGTCTGTCTCAGTGTTTACCTGGATATTACGGAGGGGATTGTTCTCTTCCCTGTAGCTCAAACTGTAAGGATTCTCGATGTGCTCGGTCGACAGGCATTTGCTCTGAATGCAAAGATGGGTACTTTGGAGAAAAATGTAATTCCCCCTGCAGTACAGGATGTATTGATAACGCTTGTAATCAATATACAGGTGTCTGCAAGACTAGCTGTAAACAAGGCTTTTTCGGAACAAGCTGCAGCAAGGCATGCGTTGGATGTAATGAATGTTACCGTGATACAGGTTACTGCGCCAACTGCACATCGAACAAATATGGAACCAACTGTCAGTTTACTTGTAGTTCCAATTGTAATTTGTCTTCAAGTGGGCAACTGATGTGCGATAAAGACTCTGGTGCATGTCGGTATCAATGTAGAGATGGTTGGTGGGGAACAAAATGTGATCAAGCCTGCAATAATGGGTTGGGATGTCAAAGTTCTGCATGTGATGTCAGTACAGGCTTTTGCTTAACACTGTGCATTGATGGCTATTTTGGAGATCGGTGCGAAAAGCAATGCAGTGCCACTTGTGCTGGAAGCAGGTGTGATAAGGCTTCAGGTAACTGTTCAAATGGATGCAACAATGGATATTACGGACCAACGTGTTCTCAACAGTGCGGACAAAACTGTTTATCTTGCGATTTTCAGACAGGTAGTTGTAATATTTGCGTTAAAGGAAGGCACGGAACTATTTGTCAGTTCACTTGTAGTAGTAACTGTAATGTTAGCAGTGGGACTGAACAAACTTGTTCGAAAGACTCAGGTTATTGTATCCATGATTGTAAACTAGGATATTTTGGAAACGATTGCTCACAATCGTGTCCAGGCCAATGTTTAAGTGGAAGCTGCAACAGAGCAAACGGACAATGTGATGATGAATGTAAGAATGGTTATTATGGTCTTTTCTGCAACCATACCTGTCCTAATTGCTTAGATGTAAGCGGGGAACCAATGTGTCATCGAACATCCGGTGCTTGTTTAAATGGATGCAAACTTGGTTTCTTTAACGATCATTGTTCTAAAATGTGCTCTTTAGATTGCCAGTCCCATGCATGTTCCGGAACTGACAGAAATTGTACTGTTGGATGTGTTCAGGGAAAATTTGGTTCCGACTGCACTTCAACATGTAACCCGAACTGCATCAACGACATTTGTGAAAGAGCATCCGGGGCATGTATTGTTGGATGTCGACCAGGTTCATATGGATCTCTATGTATGTATATTTGATTTTTTAACGTATGAGTTAAAAATTACAATGAAAAGTGTCTAATCCTACACTTGTAGAATCAATTTCTCTGTGAATTCGAACATACATTTTCATTTCTGTTTCTACTGATATCCGTTTTTATTACACTTTGCAATCTAACATCCTGTATATATACGAAAATAATCTCATAGTGTCGGATTATACAGGTTTTGTTATACGTATATCTAATTTTTCATCCCCATGAAATAGAAAGAAATCTCACTCACTAGTTTCAAAAATTAAGCCTGTAAAAAGTTTTTTTTTCGTTTTTACTTCATCACAGGTGACTTAAACTGCATTAACACAGGATGCCCAAGTGGAAACTGCGACCGACAAACAGGGGCCTGTCAGTCAAGCTGTCTAGCCGGTTATTTTGGCACCTACTGTAACTTAACCTGTCCCCAGTGTGATAGTACTGGCTGTGACAAATCCACTGGGTCTTGCATCGGTTCTTGTAAAGCTGGATTCTATGGGGTAAATTGTGAACTTTCTTGCAGCAGCAACTGCAATGGCACCGATTGTGATAGAACCTCCGGAAAGTGCTCTGGCAATTGCATAGCTGGATGGTTTGGAGAGAAATGTGATCAGGGATGTCATTCAAATTGTGCTAATGGAATTTGTGATCGTGAAACAGGGGACTGTGAAAGTTGCATTCCTGGTCATTATGGGGGAAAATGTTCCTTCTTTTGCAATTCTAACTGCAATACATCTATCTGCGATCGTACGAATGGGACTTGCAGAGGATGTGCGTCGGGTTGGTACGGCGATACATGCAACATCAGATGTGGAGATAAATGTGAAAACCTCATTTGCTCTCAGGACACGGGCAACTGCGTAAAATGCAAAGCAGGATACTACGGAGCGAAATGTGATTCGACATGTTCAGGGTGTGCCCCAAACAGCGGTCAGTCTAACTGCGCACAGGCAGACGGTGTATGTCTAAACAAATGCATCATAGGGTTTTATGGCAATAAGTGTACAGGGGTATGCGACAATAAGTGCAAAAACAATAATTGTGAGAATACAGCAAGAAACTGTTTAGATGGGTGCCAGATCGGTTACTATGGGACAGACTGTCAGTCTGTTTGTAATACCAATTGTCTGAACTCAGAATGCAACAAAACAACAGGCGCATGTTCTCAGGGATGCAAAGCGCGATGGTATGGTTCAACATGTAAGTGTTCTTTACATTTGCGTTAAATATGCTCAGATGCCATAACAGGCAAATTCACTTTTTAACCTTAGTCTTGCCTTAAAAAAATTTATTTTCAAAAAGGTAGACTGAGATTTAAAATGACCACAGCTTGTTTTTATGGTTCCAAAGCCATTTTCACCAGTGGATCTAATTTATACATTTTTGCAAATGACACAAAATATTGATTACAAAATGCTCATTTATATACAGTCAGTGCTTAACACAATATTCCCTTTTTATTTTTAGGTTCAAATCCATGTAGTAGTGCTTGCGTGGATAGCTTATGTAATGCTGCAAATGGTTTTTGCCACGCTTGCCCTGATGGATATTATGGAAATCTGTGTAGTCTGCAATGTCACACAAACTGCCAAGGAAGTGTCTGCAACAGGAACGGTAAATGTCTGGAATGCAAACCCGGGTACTATGGCGACATGTGCGATAAGATTTGTGGAAATTGCACAAACTGTGACCGAACTACAGGATGTCAAGCTTGCTCAACAGGAAAATGGGGAAATACTTGTCAGAATGATTGCAATGAAAACTGTCAATTAAATCGATGCACGAAGGATGATGGAACGTGCGAGTGTAAGGCGGGATTTTTCGGCGCTTCTTGCAATAAGGTTTGCAATATTACAAGTCAATGTATTGGTAATGCATGCGACCAGATTACAGGGGCGTGCAGTGGAAATTGCGTTGATGGATGGTATGGCGGTAGTTGCGAGATCGCTTGTCCTTTGCAGTGCAGAAATAAAGCATGCAACCGACAGAACGCTGTTTGCAGTTATGGATGCAACCCCGGGTATTATAATGATCTCTGCGAGACACTATGTCCAGTTGGTTGTTATGAATGTAGCTCTTCCGGTACATGCTTATCTTGCAAAACTGACTATTACGGTCAGGGGTGCCTTACTCAGTGCAGTCTAAACTGCAAACAGCCTACAGACAACTCCAGAGTGTGTGAAAGCACTAATGGGAACTGTGCAGATGGGTGCAAAGACGGGTACTATGGCACCATGTGTCAAATGAGATGCTCTGTAAACTGTAATGGTATGTCTTGTGCAAGAGACACTGGAAAATGCACTGGAAATTGCAATGCAAATTTCTTTGGCCCCTTTTGCAATGAATCCTGTAGTGGATGTGAGACTGTCGGTGGAACGAGTTGCGAACAGACAACTGGAAGATGCTTACATGGCTGTAGGTCTGGTTTCTATGGTACATACTGCAGGGATCAGTGTAGTTCAAATTGTCTAAATATGAAATGTGAAACATCTAAAGATAATTGTCTTGATGGCTGTGTGGCCGGGAAATATGGATTTGACTGTAAACAGGACTGCAGTGCGAAATGTTTTGGAGGAAACTGCGTGCGGTCCACAGGTGCCTGTGAGAACTGCGCTAGTGGTTTTGAAGGTCCTGGATGTAAGTATGCAATGTAGACGGATATTTTTATACTGTGTGTGGCTTATAACAATTAATAGCAAGCAGAGGATAGCATGTATGAAGTGTGAAATAATTGTGAGGTAGAAGTTTACTGCAGCTATTAGAAAAGTTTTCCTCAGATTATCATTTTGATTGTCTTGAGTCTGTACATTTAGGTTCGTGTACGTTTTATTATACTTATCTGTATTGCTGAGCATAGAATATATAACATAATAATTTTGACAAATGTTCATATATATATATATATATAAATCTTTTCTGAATATAAAGCTTACAAATAATTCCTTTGTTATAACACTTCATATTGTTGATTTTCTACAGTAAAGCTTTTTTTTAAACAATAAACTATTTAATAACAAACTTATGTTGCTTTATTAATTCAGTGTGCTTGAAGATACCAGAGGTTGATAGTTGACTAGATATAGAGGTTTAGAGGGTTGGAGTGTTTTGTTTGGATTTTTACAGGTTTTGGGTTTGCGTTTTTGCACATGCTACCGGAAATAACAGAGATTATTGTATAAGATGAGTGATGGTCAATCAGGTTAGATGGGAAATTCATTGTTTGTTAACAAGATTTCATAATATGTAATAATAATAAAAAAAAACACCAAGTGGACATGTTGATATGGTAAACAAATTTATTTGAAAAGAAAAAAAAGGAATTTGTTGAAATGAATGTTAAACACTATTTATTACTTAAAAATTATTTATAATACTATGGAAAGTAAAATGAAAAAAGTCAAAGATAGCATTAATATTTAATTACAGGTTCTTGTATGGTATGTGATTAATACTTATTGTGCATTTTTGGATATGACTTATTTTATTATATATATAAAGGTAGCCAAAGGATAGTTTCCACAGAAAATGACAACCTCCCCCTTATTGTGGGTCTATCAGCAGGGGGCGGTTTACTATTGATTGTCATCATTGTGACAGTATTGTGCATGCAGCAACTGCGATCAAGGTAAATAGGTACTTTGTAATGATAATTTCATGTTTATTTTTTTTTTAAATGAATCGTTCTTATTTATATTTTGGATTTTTTGTTTATTGTAGAAAGCGTTTAGAGAAGATTTTAGCCATGAAAGCTTTCCAGGATCAGAATGGTAAATATCTCTCTCTCTCTCTCTCTCTCTCTCTCTCTCTCTCTCTCTCTCGTCAAAAGAAACTTTAAGTACCCTTATATAAAATGTATGATCTCAAGTTTATTTTTCTTGTAAATGAGTCGATTGCATGCAACTCATCTCCCAATAGACTACGTTTCAATTTATTTGTACAGGCTGGACGTTTGACGACGAACGATCATCTCCGAGTCAGTATGTGAATAGATCATATAACGGAAGTTTACATGGCAGTATTCATGGCAGCGTGCACGGAAGTCAGTTCCACGGAAGTCAATACTTTGGTAAGCCTTACTTACAGCCTTAACCCAATTAACTGTAACATTTGCAACAACACATATTTAAACTTGACAGTAGTATATTAACGATGACAGTAATTGTTATGACCTTGAAAGTAATCTCGGAATGTATATTGTGCGAATTTAATAAATCAGTTTCTTCTGTAATGTGTAATGTTGAAAAGTGAAGAGGAATTGCTGCATTTCTAAATATTCATACACTGTGGAAAGTGATAGAAATACTAATATTTCTTAAATGTATTATCTCACTATTCTTACATTGAAACTTACAATGGTAGCCTGTGATAGGAATGATGAAAAAATGTTAGTCTAATGAAATATATGGAGATAACGAACAGTATTCAAGCTCAAAAGTCCATTAAACAATACAAATTTTGGAGCAGGGCAAACACGGACCTCTTAAACATCAGAGGTGGGATCAGGTGCCATGGAGGAGTGAACATCTCCTGCCATCTAAGTAATATAATTCATCATTACAAACAGTTGCTCAATTTCTAAAAAGAAAAAAAATCTTGACCATTTTAACATAGATTGTAATTAAAATCTTTTAGATTGCTAAAACCCCTGTCACACCGGGACTGCGTCATCACGGCGATCGCACGGCGTCCATAAAAAATGCAAAACGCCGAGGTGAGCGCAGTAGAGTCTCCAACGCGACGAGATCTCCACTGAACGTGGTAGGGTCGCGTGGGGTCTCCTAGAACGCCAGGGGACGGCGCGCACTTTGGGCATGCACAAAGTACGCGCCGTGTGATCGCGGTCTGATAAAAACGCAGTAGAAACGTAGTATGATCGCCGTAGCAGCGAGTTGAGATCTCCAACAACGCAATGGGAGCTCCGTAGGCAAGCCGTGAAGACGCACATGATCGCAGCATGAACGCAGTGATAGTAGACTGCGCTTCCACGGAGACCTCGCGGAGTCCTTGGAAGTTGTCACGGCGTTTCTATCGCGCTTTTACGGCGCTTCTAGTGAGATTAATTGTCTTGTGATTTTTTTGACTGCTATTACACAGCGACAACAAGGAGTTGTCACTGCGATCATTGCGCTCCCTTGGCGTTTCTACCGCGTCCGTTGGCGATCACAATGCGCTTTCAGGGCGTTGTCAGCCAGGCCTTAAGACCATAAAATTAGAACAGACTTTAAGTCAAAATTTATATTATGAATTTCTTGGGTTTTGTTTGACATATGTGTTTTAAAAACTGCAGGACTGTATAATGTTCAAATATAAACAAGTGATGAAAATTTTGTTAGATTATGAAAATTATTTCAAAATTATTTCAATTTGAAATTTTGACTTAAGTCTGTTCTCAGTTTATTGTCTTTGGGCCTGGTCACAAAACAAGAGCAATGGCCTCATATTTGATCAGCAATAATTTAACGTATTTGTTGCACTCCTGACCAGTAGCATGAGTAGAATTGGGAAGTAAAGATTACACCAGAACTTGTTCTGTTGTTTCAGTGAGTTGCGGTGGAATTACTTAAATTTTATAACAACTTTTCAGTGTGTTTATTTTTTACATTCAGATTAAAATCAAAGAAAAGATAAAAACACATGTAAATGGATATAATTGAAAAAAAAAGGTTTTAATAACAAAACTATCAATAATTTAGTACTAAATTTGTTCAAATAGATTTTTAATTGAAGAATATTTCTTGGCATAAGTAGAAGTCTTCGTCATGTAACTTGAATCTTAAAAAAAAGGGTTACAGTTCTTCTGAATATATATCCAAAGTGAAGAACGCATTGTGAACGCAGCAAGCGCAATGAGAACGCCGTGAAAGCTAGGTGACAACTCCTAAGACGCCGTGAAAGCTCCGCGGAAGCGCAGTCAATCGCGAAGAGATCTCCGTGGGAACACAGTAGCACGCCGCAAGAACGCCGTAGAAACGCGTGGGTCGCCGTAGGGACGCCGTGACATCTTCACAATGTGAAAATTTTACAGAAGTTTCTGCAATTTCCTTCCGATTCCACTGCGATTTTAAAAATTTAACAACGCCGTAATAACTCCGTGTGGACGCAGCTTGGTGTGACAGGGCCCTAACAGATTTAACATACATTGTATACTACATGTACATATATTTTAGACTACAAGTATTTGATATTTCTGAAACATAGGAATAATTAAGAGAAGTAACTAAATGAGAACTTTATTATACAATATTGACAACCAAGTTTCTAATCTGTATACGATGACCGTTTAGATTGAGAGCATTGTCATTTTCCATAGGGGAAAAAAACGATCAGTATCTAACCTCTTGCTTTTTATATAATTAAATATAAAGATAAAATTTATTCATTTTTTTAAAATCAGGTGAAACACGTCATAGTGAAATAAATTATCCTTACGAGGGAGAAGGTGAGAATTAGAGTGCAGTGGAGGGTTATAAATAGTATGTGGCAATTTTTCAATCCCAGCAAGCTTGTGATTATGAAGTGTTTACATTGTTTTTCGGATAGGATATATTTTACCTGTAGTGACATAAGTACTGTGTATTTTAAGTTTTTCTTTTCAAAGAAATGATACAATAGGAAAACATTGTCCATGTCATCAAGAAAAATCTCTCTTTGCTATTTGGAAAGGGGTAACGATTTACTCCAGGAATCAAATTGTTCGGAACTTTTCCGGAAATAATCCAAAGAACTTGCTTGGAAAGAAACGAAAAATTGCTACTGCAGAGAAGGTGTACAATGCGTTATGTCTTGTCGCTAGTAACCATTTGTTGCTTTTACAAAACCAGCCTTACTTGGGAAAAGGTGCAGTTTTGAAATATTCAAAAGCAATTCGTAATGTGTGTGAGTTTATTGTTTCCTTTTAACAAATTCTAGGGAGTGAAAATAACCTGTTTGCATTCGCATATGTGACAAACAGTAAACAATATCATAGGCGAGTTATTATTTCAGAAACTTTTAGAGGCTTTATCATGTTTATGGTACAATTTTCTTCCCATCAGAACACTAAAAAAGGGTTCAATGTATATTTGTCAGTAATATGCATGTTTCAAGGTCTTACTTGACAACTCTATTCACATCGTATAAAAAGTCCCGTTTTGACCATTCAAAAGATCACATGTTAGGGAAAAGCTGGATGGACAGCATGGCCTAGTTTATATAATTCGAAATATCCACGATAATGTGCTTCTGGTTCTAATTGCTTAGGAATCAAGTATATGTCAACGCTATTTGTATGTACCAAAATATGACGACGTAAATCAAAATAATGGAAAAAAGTTTTAGTTGACATCTATTTTTTATTTGGTTTTCACCCAGTTTAATCAAAACTCTCACTTACACTTAGGACTCTTAAGTAACATGTATGCTAGGAATTAACACATTAATTATATAAGGTAAAGGGATTGATTCACAGATTAATCGATCACTTTTAAAAGGAGAATAAAGACATGTTGTCTACTATTCAATAAAAGTATTGATCAATAGTCAATCAATTGTCCACGGAGGGGGGAAATCTTAAAATATCCAATATAAGCGTCATTGCAAATTCAGAAATTGCAATCACAATTAAGAGGAAAATCTAACTGCCTGTTATTTGTATCGTGTAACTTAAATATGAGATGTAAAAAAAAAATTTAAAAAAAACAGTTAACCTGAAATTTTCAAGTTATTTTGCTTATTAAGATAAGAAAAAAAAACATTTTATTTTGAGAGATATCAAATATATCAGTCAAAAAAGTCAAAATGATTTAGTTGAACTGTGTATTTTAAGGTCATAGATGTAAGTTTTCTTTTTTTTTTTCTCTGAGAATCTGCTAGCAAGTAGTTGCACCAATGTATAGTTCAGTTGTTTTTGGTGAATTGTTTTGAAAAAAAAACAAAAACGGTGTAGCTTTTTATGTTTAACAGTATGTCTAATTGCTAACAGACAGTGATTTGTGTTGATTAATTCTGTGTGTATGTAAAAGATACTGCGTAATGACTAGTGATGTAAAGGTTTTGTTTGTATAAGATTTATCACAACCAGTGTTTAAATAAATACTTTAAAAAGTATAATATACTGTAAAATAAATATAAAGTTGACATAATTTAAATAATTCTAAATCATTTCAAAATAATAAATGTCATTTACGTTTTCTAATATACATTCGTGTGGTTTCTTCCTTTGAAGAAGAAAATGGAGAGTATCGAATGGATGGAGGATCCGTTTCCGGACAAGGTGAGCTGAACCTTTGCAATAGTATGATGCTTGTGCTTATAAATTATGTTTTTGGTTGTTGTTTTTTTGGGACTTGCTTATTATGAAAAGAATACATTTGGAAATGTGACCTTAAATAAGTGATCTTTTTTGTTATTTATTAATATTGTAACTTACTGTAATTGATTATTTATTTGTGAATAACACTTGATTTAATGAAACAGCAATACATATATCTATTTTATTTCTTTAGTAGTGTTGAAGTGGTAGAGGTACGGATAAAATTATCATAAGTTAGATATTACGTATATAAGAAAAGAGAGAGGATCCATATAGGATCCAGATTATAGATGCTTAACATTACAAAATAAAAAATAAAATCCTTCTTTTTAAAAAGCTTTCTATCAGATAAATTGTCTACAAGAAATGCATCATCGCTTTCAGCGAAATTATTCCTACCAATATAAATGCATGAAATTTATTTTAACGTGTTTGAGTTGATATATTTATTCAAGAAAATTACAATGTGACGTGTCCTTATTTATTAGTTTAGAAAAGAAAACTTTCTAAAAGGCTTATAGATACATGTAATATTGAAAGTAGAATCTCAGAGTAGAGCTGATCTATCTTTTCTGAAGTAGAAAATCCCTTATTCTTCAAATAATACTATTTATTACATAGGATGAATTCATTCTCTCTGTTTGCTTCCAAAGGAAAAATATATCGCTCATTTAGACTGCTAAAAATTATATATATTCCAGTATTAATAATTATGCTAAAAATTTATGTACAACGTTTACAAAGCTAGGTTATAAAACTAGGTCATAGGGAAATCA